AAGAACACACTAACTAACAATTTACCAACACTCAACTTTATATTTGTCTAGACTGCTGCCCTGTGCGTTGAGCTTTTTTTTGAGGGAGACCTAAACTACAAACGTAACTCCTTTGAAAAAGCTTTCACTGAACTCCGTAAAAATTTCAAATCCCTGATATATTTGGCCAGCGGGAACTCATTCGAGGACAAAAGCAGATAACTCTCAGGGCCGCATGCACTGACATCCCCGCTCGCGAGGCGATCGCAGCTTAGATAAACTTTTCATATTCTGAAACTTCGGATATCTGGATTTCACTTTGTTTATCTATCCGTAAGTATTCTATCATAATTCATTATGAACATATTGAACAGGAGTGAAAAGCTGCACGAGCCGCATTTTTCAGCTTTTTGTACGATCCGTGATGATTTCTGATTTCCTTTTTCTTTTCTTCAAAGCCATTTTTCTTTCTTTCAACTAAGCGAAAACTTCCAAAGTTGTACTTACTACTGAACCCAACAGTGCTAAGCATATTACTGACAAGAGCAGATGAGTTTTTGAAATTCGAATTTTTCGATAAACCCCAACTTTCGACCTGTGGTTCATCGCAAATTCCATAACTCCAATACGTCATTTGTTTTTATTAGCAGCATGCTCAACACTGTAGTTAGTATTAGGTCGTTCCGAAAGTTCCTTCCGTTTTTTCAACCTATCATAAAAACACGTAGAATGAGGGTAGAGAAACGCTTCAGGCACTATCCGACGCAACTTTTCTTCCTCTTTTCAACTGTCATATTTCTGTGCCGCTAGCTCTTGTGATCAGTGAGATAATGGCCAAAATTTCGAACCCATGGTTTTTACCATGTCCAAGTCTGGCAATTTTTCACTATCTTCTTTTTTGACTTTTGGAAAAGCTTTGGAAACAGTTGGATAGAGTAAACAAAGTGCAATTTTATGCAATTTTTCGGCATCTATAGCTAGCCTCAAAACATTTTTGGAATTATTTTTCTGATGCTATCAAATTCCACTTCTGGGGATGCCAAAAGCCACAGAACATAAAACGGCGCACAGCTAAGGTGTCATTCGATGCAGCCTTTTCTCCTCTTTCTGATGAGTGCTTTTTCTTCTTAGTTTGTGGGATCTTTGGCGACAAAATTTCCATAAATCTTGATTTTGAACCCGCCTCATGATGTACCCGTGAAATGCGAAACCTTATATTTCGAAGCGGTAAACACTCAGTTGATTTGTAAAAATTGTGTACAATCATGAACGACTTTTGAAAGTTTCGAAAACCGAAGATTTGTTGATGTTCAGAGCGTTTGTGTGTTTTGTGACTTCGGAAAAGTTACCTCAAAAAATAATGAGAAGCCAGCTGAAATTGCCAAAAAAATGCATTGCGTTGGCTTTGTTTACTCTATCCGACTGCTATCAAACCTTTTCCAAAAGTCAAAGAACAAGATAGTGAAAAATTGCCAAAGTTGGACATGGTAAAAACCATAGGTCCGAAATTTCGGCCATTATCTCACTGACCACAAGAGCTAGCGGCACAGAAATATGACAGTTGAAAAGAGGAAGAAAAGTAAAGTTATCTCGGACAGTGCCTGAAGCGTTTCCCTTTCTTGGTTCCACGTGTTTTTATGATATGTTGAAAAAAACGGAAAGAACTTTCGGAACGACCTAATATATCAGCATAATTTTGGAAGGTTTTCGTTAAATCTACCGTAACTCCGCTATATGGACCTGCAACCAGAAATGCATACCATATTCGTGACCAGCGCACCGAATAACCCCTAGGCCAAGATTTTACAAAAATTCAAAATTTTGTAAGCTGCTGCGCACCACGATACCCCCATCATGCCTGCTGAAATTACGAGCAGAATGTACTCCGAAGGACTTTTCAACTGTTCCACTTATTTTGTGCACTATTTCTTTTTCTCTTAACAAAACTTAGAGTTTGAGATCCACGATAAGTTGGACGCGCACCAAACTTAGAGTTATCGCAGAGCTCAGCTGCGCGTTTGGTGGCGCTATTTCATGCGCAGAACGATTTATACATTATTTCGCTACTAGGAATCTAGGAATAAACTACCACTTACGGAGTATTCTAAAATATCATCGCTTTCCAGATTTGGTCTAGTCAAGCACCTGTTGAGGGAATCAAAAAGGTGCGCGTTACTGAGAGATAACTCGAAGTTAACTCTGACTTATAACTCTGAGTTTCGACAGGTTTACTACCGACCCTGGTAATTTCCGCTAGCGAAATCAACTCGTCCCACTCTTTCCTTTTGAAGGCAAAAGTAGGATGTTCGATGAGGATTTTATAGGGTGCGGAAAAAGTACTGTCCCTCCAACTTGTCTCTTGAAATACTTCAAACAGAAAGCAAATCTGAAGTTTTTTGATTACCATAGGTAGGCGAGATCCTTGAAGTTGAATAAGGGCAAGTTTGATTTGAAACTGTTTGCTTCTGTCCATTTGAATGAGTGATAACAGCGCGCAAGGACATCAACGATGCGCCGATAGCATAAAAGCGCAATTTTGGACCGTAACTATACCACCAGCATTGATATAACGTGCAAATTAAGCTAGTATGTAGCGCATGACCTCTTCTCCAATATTCTATACCCACTCTAGATGAACTTGGATTGGTTATTGTATTGGCCAAATAAGGGAGATTGTATCACACGCAAATCGCAAAATTTCTTGAAAAGAGGCGAGTCAGGACTGCGCTTGCTCAACGAATTGGATTCATACTATGATTCGAAGTTCCAGATTACAACAAAAAGTGACAGGAAAATGAAAAGAGCATCGGACTTTGTCTACAGCACGATTTTGGAGCGATAAACGATTATACCTAGTCTCTGTGCCACGTTTTCTGAACGCACTCTGCTGCGCCGCAGCCAGTTCCTCGTCATATTCACAGCTTTTCTACTAGTGCAACTGCTGATTGGCTACTTTCAGAATATTTCGGTATCCACTATTACATTCCTTAACCAGGAGAGGATTTCTCAATTTCGCGTGACAAACAAAAAAATTTCCAAAAATCTTCACACTTTTTCATATTTGTAATGGGGAGTTGCAAGATTTGATATGAAATGGGCTGCGAAAAGGGATCCGCCGCCGGGTTCCTCTGTAGAATTCCGAGGCCAGTTTTTTTCTAATGCTTATATCCACATCTTGGGAATTATGTCAAATTTATCAGGGAAACCTGTGAATTACGCCGATTTTTTGAACTATTAGGTCGTTCCGAATGTCGCTTTTTTCAAACGTACGCCACATTTCGTGGAACAAAGATATGTAAGAGATTCTGGTAGCATTTGATGCAGTGTTTCATTCTCTTTCTAATGGTTATATAATTACCGCACAAAATTGAATAACCTCTGAGAAAATTATTGGAATCTGCGACCCATGCTTTTTGAGAAGGTCGAGTTTTACAATTTTTCCAAATTTTTATAACAACCCCGGAAGGAGTTCAAGTTATGTATGGATAGAGCAAATTCTACGGGAAACAGCACAACTTTTTTCTACTTTTCAGAGCTCGTCATAATTTCTGTATAGATTTTTTGATGGAACCACCGAATTTTAGCAGGCTCGTCACAGACACAAATGCATCAAACACCAAGAAATCGTCGGATTTTGAAACTTACAAACAAAAAAATAGGTTAAAATAGGTTAAACTTGTGTATTATGTTGCTAAGTAGGACAACACAAACTGCTGGTAAAACTTGTTGAACATGTAGATGACATGTCAAATTTTTTTGACACGTAACAGACGGTTGACGCTCTTTCCTGTGAAATTGGGACCAAATATGGCGCGAGAAAAGAAGCATTATCTTCTTTGAAAAAATGAGTCCGGATAACGGAAAAGTACCAACGAAACTTGCTCATTGATATTGTATCTGTTCTTGTAATTTCCCGCTCTAAATACACTTTATTTTTTCTGCCGACGGATTAGAGGGAGGCGGAGAGAGGAAAGGGGAGTTTAGCGGGAGGACTGCGATAGTACGACAACCAAAATTATTGTAATTGTGCTGTAGTATACTTTGTTTTGTATTCGATGAATATTTTTGAACATTCCTTATATGATGTCACAGTGAATAGGCGTTCTTCCCTCAAACATTGTCACCCGAGCGATAAGCCCAGCACACTGCTCTCATACAGCCAGTTTGATCAGTTAGGATCTAAATAAGATAACAAGAAAGAATAATTAATGTTCTCAAAAACATTAGCACTATCTACAAATCTCGCAAAATAGCCGGTGCTGCATTTTTGCTATTAAGATGAGTCAATAGCTATTTCGCACACTCCTTTCACTCATCTCGAATGGGAATGAGGTAGAATTCATCTACTGATTGATGTTTCAAAAGCCAAAAAAATTCAGTATTAACGCATTTATGGAACTTTTGTTATACTCTCTCTCCTAAGAATGATTTTTTTGGATAGAGCACATGATAGATGATTGATTACTACACCAAGCGAGCTCGTCAACAAACCTATGATTTGGCGCAACACAACACCAATGTTTCACTGGGAGCAAGTGGCGGTCGCAGGATTTCGGTCCGGGGGAGGGGGGAGATTTTTTTTTCAGATGAAGGTCAGAATGATTGTACGGGGTGTTCCTCAAAATTTTTGTGGGTCCATTACTTCAGAATTTAGAAAAAGGGGCGTGATGTTAGCCGCAAAAAGTTTTTGAAAGGTTAATTTGAGTTTTTAAAAACCTCTATAAATTATTTTAATTATTTAAAAAGATGAACAAGTCACTTGCACATTTTTATAACCCATGTAAGTAAATTTCAAAAATTTCCCGAAACATTCTCGGGGAAGCCCCCCCCCTCTGATCCGCCACTGCTAGGAGCTGAGGAAATAGACCGATTTTCAGGAAAAGTTACCCTTTATGTGTAGTTGCAAACGAAATTAAACACATTTTTTGCCAGTACGTTTCGGACAGTTTTTGCTACAAAAGGCAGTAGTGCAGTAATAGACTGTAAAAATGCAATACTGGGCAAAACGAATAGTTGTTTAGGGTCGGAACCAACGGAGCCTCCGGAAGCATTCAATGGCACTTCATCAACAATGATCACAACCAGAGTGCAGTCTACAACAGCCTTTATCCATCCGAGTGTCTCGACTTCATCACAAACTAAATTTTTTATTAACACTACTAAAACGCTTCACTCAACGACGACCCGTAAATCTACTCAAAAGCCAACAGGTAAGAGCTATATAGAATGACAAAACCAACGCTGCGTGAGCAATTTTGTCAAACTGCAGTAGCGCCTGTAAGCTATGTACAGTCGAGTAGATTGTGGGTAAATATAGCGCCCTTGCGGCGACGAGACTTTGAAAACAAGGGAAGTTCGCTTGGTCGAAGTGGTTATTCGTAAAGTGATGTATGCCTATGAATAGAGCTTAAAACGCTGATCGTATTTTACCTTCTATATTTGCGAAACGTTTTCTATAGGAAGTGATGGGCTTTTTTTTGTATTCATAATGGTAGTGTGGTCTAGAAGGAAAATGACGACCTGCGGATATATTGTGATTGGGCAACACTCGAAAATGTTCAGATATAAAGAGATCGGAGCTGTGAAGACATGTTAGGTGATTTGCTGTTCTCCGTTGTTAAATTCAATTTTTGCAAGTTCTGTATAATATTGAAGCTGTTGGCCTCTACTTTCACGTTGACAACGCCAAAAGCCCGTTTTTCGAGTCGAACGAGAAATTTGGCAGCACCGTGTATTCGACAACTCTTGTTTAGTTTAGTTAGCTAGTTCACTTCTTTAACTTTATAACCCTAGTTTGACTCTTGTCAAGCGAGCTCCTCGTGCGTTCGATAGATCTTGCTTCTTTCTATAATAAACAACGTCTATTATAGGAGCTCACTTTTTCGATAATAAGAATTTTTTGGTAGAAAACCTCGAAAATTGCGTTTTTCTTTATCTCGTTCTCTTTCAGCGTTTTCGCAGCGATATTTACCAGCTTAAGCTGTTGCTCAGAATAATGAGAGCAATTTTTCAGAGCAATTCGAACAAGTCTCAGCAAACGAACACGTCATTATGGGGGTGAAAATTTGAAGGCGCATCATAAACTGGGTGGCTTTGGCATGCACTTTGATTAGTAAAATCAAATCTTCGCGTTTTCATAGCTAGTTTTTCTTGCTTTGCTTAATTTCTTCTTAATAATCATCACTTCAAACATGGTTATTTCTGAAATAATCGTTAAAAAACAACTTTTCCTCGTTTTTTACCGTATTATGAATTATCTGGTCCTGGAGCGAAACTTCAGAATGCCTTTAAATAAAAGATTTCTAACAGATTGCTTGCCCGACCACCAATCATCCATGCCGCGAGCTGCCCTGTAAACCGATATTGGACCCGATAAATGATCGCCGGCGCATCCTGTAAGTGGCCCGTTAAGCGCCTATATTTGACCCGATTAGCATGTTTGTAAGGCCTAGGAAAAGTGAATGGACCTTTTAAACCTGTCTTTTACGATGACGCGTTGAGAGGAAATCGTGCAATTTGTTTGCTCATCTGTCGAGATCATCCAATGTCCTCGATAACACTCATCCGACTGTGGAGGTTCACTTTGCAAGCATAGAAACTCAATACTGTCACAATGTATCAAATCCAGAAAACGATACCCAGCCTCGCAAACACTTGGGTCAGCATCACCGTTGCGGTGTACCTCACGCAAGATGCGCCTTAACCTACATTGCGTGAAAAGTGCTGCCTTTAATAAGGCCCGCGGCCCGTCGTGTGATGTGGGGCAGCGACTCTCCCAATTATGTCTTCCTATGTTCAACTGTGGCCGCGGCGTTCCCGGTAAGATATATATGGGCCGCGGCTCACTAAGCTTTTAGGGCCTATCATCCTTAGGTAAATATACAATGATACGTCAACATCTCAGTGTCCTTGTATTTTGCAGAATAGGGTTATCTGATACCAGTGCTTCACCTCTGCTTCGCAGAGACTCGCACTGCTCTACTATTCTAGGCCCTGCTCATTCTCGCATAATGATGGCATTGGAACTCACCGAGCAATGCCGACTATCACGAACAAAATGTAAACAATTACTCATTCCAAAAGCTTTATTTATGTGAAATCGGTGATTTCGCGTGGATGGAACTTTTTTCAGGGAAACAAATGCAAATTTTTATAGGTTTTTGATTTTTCCATGGTCTTTACAGTTGCTATAAGAACAGCAGTCATCGTGAGCTACATCTCTGTGCAAAAATCTAGTCAAATGGTCTGGCAAAACATTGTCAAATTGACCATTCACGCAACCAATACTTTTTGGCGCCGTTTTTGTAAAGTAATGGACTTTTGATCACTTTTTTGAGCCTAAGTTCATGGCTTGCACATTTACTTGGCAAAACATCCACGACTCTGAAAAAAGTGGAATTACGGACCCAATTTTGCGGCCCAAATGCAAAGTGGGTCCGTTTAACACGCAGTTTCTGAGGGATCCACTCAACAAATCTGCTCGTGCTTTTGCATGTTGGACCTTCATGCGGGTAACATGCGCTCTGCAAAATTTGAGCCCAGGAGGTTGGCTGGAACACGCTCTACGAATTTCGTAACAGACACACTCTCACACACACACACACAGACACACACACAAAGTCACGTAAACACCCTTAGCCGGTTATTATAAACCAGTGCGTCACCTCTGCTTCGCAGAGGCTCGCACTGGTCTTATTTCATATGCCTTACTCATTCTTGACTAATAATGGCAATGAAACTCACCGCGCAGTGCCGATTATCGCGAGTAAAATGTAAACAACTATCCATCCCAATTGCTTTTTCATGTAAGATCGGTGTTTTTGCTTGGATAAAACTTTTCGCAGAAGAACAAATACAAATTTAAATAGGTTTTTGGACTCTTTCTGGCTTGATAGCTGCCATAAGGACAGTAGGCAACGTGAGCTACATCTCTGTGCAAAATTCTTCTCGAATGCTCAGGTAAAACCATGGCAAATTAACCATTTAAGCAACCATTTCTTTTTGGCGTCGTTCTCGTAAAGTAGTAAACTTTTGTCCACTTTTTTGGACTAAATTCTTGGCTTGCACATCAGCATGCCAAACACATCTCCGACTTTGCAAAAAGTGGTGATACGGAACCAATTTTGCTGGCCAGAACCCAAGTGGTTCCGTTTGACGCGCATTTTCTAAGGGATCCATCCAACAAAACTACTCGTGCTTTTGCACGGTAGGCTCTTATGTTGGTCGCATGCGATTTGCAAAATTTGGGCTCAGGACGTTGGCTGGAACTCGCTCTACGAATTTCGTTACAGACAGACACACAGACATACACACACACAAAAACACGTAAACAACCTTAGCCCGTTATTATAAGTTATGATCATGATGATAATGCTGACACATCATGTTATCCTTGAAATCAAAATCCACTCGGTGTTGCAACTCCCTCCTCTGTCTGGCAGCTCATTCCGAACTAACATAAGTGTGGCACATATTCCGCGTTTGACTCTGATTATAGGACTGTTAGCACGGCTTGCAGTTTTGAACAACAGTTTTGGATGTGACACTGAAGACTATAGATGAAGCAGCAGCTAAATTCATTACACAAACAATCATGGTGATGGGCCGCATTTCACATGCACGTACATGTTCTCACATGTTGCCCATTACTAAATGTGCGAACCAAGGGGGCCTAAAGCGTGAGCAAAGTTGCTTTTCCGTCTTACATCTTACAAAACTGCCGTTTCATTTAGAAAAGTGTGAGTCAGAAAGAAAAGCAGTTAAATTCGTTTCAAATGCGACTGCACTCAAAGCTAGGTTCACATTTAGAAAATTTCCATCAACTTCGCGAATTTTTGGCCTTTGCTCGCTTCGCATCATGGACAATGATATTAGGAGAACGAAATGTAGGGCAGGGCTGAATTTGCGTTTTGCGGGCTTCCTAGCAGTACCCAATATGTCACCATCCACGAAGTCTGAATTACATGTTTGGTAAAATCTGCAACATTTGATTAATATATCGCATAATAGATCAATATTTCAGCACCAATCCACTGCATGTTTGTTGGGGACGTATTCAATCTAAGCAACGACACAACGACCAGCCCGATTAATTACGAAGATGTAAGTGACGCATAAAAAATATCCTCTTCTTAAAGTTATCACTTCATCCGACCCACATTTTCGGTCACTAGTGGTTTTGTTGCATCAACATGTTTTCTAGGAAAGAGCGATGCTTGACCAAGCGGGCGAATTGCTGCTCGAAAAACGAGGAAACACTGCAGGAATTTGGGCTTATGGTCACGTCAATCACACCGACAATTTTTAAAAGATGTTTAATAAATCTGCCACCGAGTGGCTGGAATTTTCTGGAACTCTGAGGAAGATGATGACTTACAAAAGTGATAGACTATTTCCACATGCAGGTCCTGAAGCCGACTACAATGTGGGGTGCGTTTAAAATGACTTCTCTCAGACAATCTACACTTTTTTCCGACAACACAATAGAAAGAAATTGTTTTAGTATATTCAAGGCTATCAACACAACTGGTGATCTCAATGACAAGGCAAACTGCTTGGTCTTCTTATCAGCCATGTAAGACATAACTTTGCCTAGTTACGCCACTTAGCAGAGGACAAATGCGCTACATTTCGAAATTTTTCAAATATTTAACAATTCGGATGGATATAACACCGTTTAGTAGTTGTCTTTGTTTGTGTTCTGTAAAACTTTTACAGTTTTCTGCTCTGTTGAATCATAATTTGTTATCTAAACAAGTTTTTCCGATAAAACAAAGCAAGCTCTACAAGTAAGATTTCAAACATATGCACAAGATCTGTTCAGCTTAGAGTAGAGGCCAGTATGTAAAAAACGATGCCTTCTTTTGAGAAAAACTTGCGGAATTCTCACTTGCTCATGCATAAACTCACATTTGAGAATTATATGTACATCTGCTGCCTTCTATTCACTTCTCAAAACTTTCTCTTTTCAAGACTATTCTCGAGGACACAGAGAGATGAAAATAGACCAAGAATGCTAGTCGTCTATTTTTTTAGCAAAATTTGATTTTCCTTAAAAAACTAACAATTACGAAAAGAGGAGAATCCGTAATTATGATCAGCGTACTATAGAATTTCTCTGTCAGAGCATCCAGCACAACTTTGACAAAAACATAATTATTGCTTTTTCGATTTCCAGCATGGATAAAACGAGCAAATGTACAGATTTGTGAAGAGTATATGCCAGCGAAAACAAAATGTCCTGGATTTTTTGAACGAAGATATTATTCTTTTAATTTTTCAGTTTCCGGTTTTAAACGTAAACAAAGTCTGAGTAGTATTTAGATATTACACTGTAAGCTTGCTTTACTTTATTGATTGGTACCCCCTTGGATAGCCGAAAATTAAGACCTATTGCAGGGGAAATTGAAACATTAGAGCGATCATAAGCCACTCTCAAAGTGTCAAGCTCTAACATGCAAGTTTCTCTTTCACGCAACCTCGCTAAATTTCGGCCAAGTCAGGACAGTGTCAACAATCGCATTATTAAGCACACGAGCACAGGCCGGGAATGCAAAAGTGTGCTTAGAGGAACAGATGCATTGTCTATGAGAGACAACAGTGATTACACCGAATTTTTGTCCACATGCAGAGAACGAACAATGTTAGAAATTCTTGATTGAACTCTTCATACAATGCTTTAATGTGTTCATCTCAGCTGGCTAGCAATGCTTTATACCCATTCATCTCCTTTTCATACAACTCCGAGAAGATGGCCAATCCTGTGCCAAGCCACTCAATGCGCCTTATACAGGGTGTCCCAAAAGTATGTATCGAACGTTTGATCGTAAATAACTCTCTTCCCAAGAAGTCTTTTGCCTTGCTTCAGGTACCGTTTTGTAGAGCTGGCTTCAACTTAGATTTGCACTATAGAACGAATCACTCATTTCTCTTCATTACTGTAGGATTACGGTAGAAACTTCAAGGAGGGTTTTAAGCAATGAAAGGCCATATTTTGCCCCAGAAAGGAAACAAAACAGCCTTAAAACTTTTACACTAGGCTAATTAGAGTTGCTGATTATAACTGTAAAGTTTCCAACTTATTATGATGCTTCATTGAAGAGTTATGCCAGGTAAGAAGTAGCGGCCATTTTTTCAATGTTCCTAAAAAGTGGGATTGCACCATTTAGAAAGCTTCGTAATCTTGTGAATAGTTAATTATTGAACTCAGCGTCCATAAAAACCCTATTACACAAGTTTTCACGATTTTTTGAAAAATTTTGAAACGGCAGCTTTTTTCACATTAACACCATATGTTTCAAGTTTCTACCGTAATCCTACAGTAATGAAGAGAGATGAATGATTCGTTCTATAGTGCAAATCTAAGTTGAAGCCAGCTCTACAAAATGGTACCTAAAGCAAGGCAAAAGACTTCTTGGGAAGAGAGTTATTAACGATCAAACGTTCGATACATACTTTTGGGACACCCTGTATGTTAATCATTATTTATCAGTCCATTTTAGATGGGTTCGAAAGTTCGTGCCGTTCTTTAGACCTATCTTCAAATTATTCAGAATAACGATAAAGAAACATTCTAAGCACTGCCCTATGCGGAATTTCTTTCTCTTTTTAGCAGTGATGTGTTTGTTCGCATTCTTTTTTTGTCAGACTGTCGAAAAATTGTCAGACTCTTCAATCCATGGTTTTTAGCTGCCCTAACTTTTGATATTTGAATTTTAGTTCAGGACTTATGAAATAAAAAGAATGCAATGGAATACAATTTTTGGATCGATAGCTAGCTAAATTTTCCAAAATTATCATTTTGATGCTACCAAATTTAATATTTGTTTATTCACTTTCGTAAAACATCAGACTGCAAACAGCTAGGGCGTCATTCGACGCAGCTTATTCTCCTCTTTTTGAGATGTTTTTCTTTCTGATTCGTAAAAGCGTCGAGTCAAAAATTGCCATATCTAGTTTTTTAATGATCTCAGGCTGCACCCGAAAATTCTAAAAATCAATACTTTCAGGCAATAAAAACTCATTTGTTTGTAAAAACTAGTGTTCAAACATAGTTCCAATTTGCGACGATTCCATGTGTTCAAAGCGTTCGACGTGTTCAGTTTGTATATTTTACGATTTCGTCAAATGTGAAGACTTCTGGAAAACTTGTTTTTAGAGGTACTGAAAAGTCAGCTATCGCCAAAAAATTGATTTTTGTAGCATTTTGTATACTACCCAAATGCTATCGAAACTTTTTAAAAATCCAAAATGAAAATTTCAAAAAATACCTAAATTTAGGGTACGTAAAATGGGTTGGTTGGAGATTGTGCATAGAACAGTGCTAAGAGTGTTTGTCTATCATTTCTATCATCATTCTGAATGATTTGAGGATAGATCGAAAAAACGGCACAAACTTTCGCACCCACCGAAATCGACATCTTATTTCGAAGCATAAATAACAGAATTTTATTCATTCAATATCAGAAGGAAGAAGTTTGCTACTTGAAAGTTGATTTGTCTTACAATCCGCTGCTTTTCATCACTCTTGTACGCTTTTTGCTTCATTCTTGCTATAATCTTTTAGGTCTATAAGAACTGCCTTCTGCGCGGAAGACTCATTTAGGACTCCCAATAGCTTTGCAAAAATTGATTTTTTTGCAGATGTTAATTATAGGACAATTTTTCGGTGATACTCTGAATCTTTTGTTGACGTCTAAACGAGTGTTCATATGATTTCGATTTCTAGGCTCTGACAAAGGCGAAAGCGCCGAAATGTTGGCAAATAAAGAATTAATATTAAACTTGTCGCTCAATGCTGTCCGGAAAATAATGTCGCATTCTACCGCGGCAGAGTAACCACGAAAAACAATGAATGGGGTATCATATGATAGAGCACAGCAAGCTTTACAACATGGAGTATAAAATATTGCGGAGATTTTGTTCCACCTGAAGTTCGAATCCAAAATACAAAAAAAATTTCGGGCACCCCTAAAATTGTATCTCCGTCCATACTTGTCTTAGGGTTCTCCAGTTTGCGCAGCCATGTACTCTTTACATCAGACATTCATGTGTACAGTTTGTGGAATTATCCCATTTCAAAAAACACGAGAAATAAAACTAGGTCAAAAGTGCCATTATGCGGGATTTTCGGCTTTTTTGCAAAATATTTGATTTTACTCGAAAACTAAACCTTGTGGAAAGCTTAAATTTCATGTTTATACTTGCAAGTTTATTCTCAAGAATCACCTATTTGAAAAAAGCTCAGGATTGCTTTGACAAAAATATGCCAAATTTCATTTTCTTGATTTCTAACCATGAGACTACGAGACTGTGCCTACGAGTGCGTAATGTCGACAGTGTATGCGTGAGCAAGTTTGGAATTCTAAGGTCTTTTCTTGCCGGAGATATGATTTTTTGAAATTTTTTGAGCCTTTGTTGCCTCGCTAAGTTTGGCCACAAACTTTACGCCAATCAAACTTGGGGCGAATGTTTAGGCTATTTTGTAGAGCTTGTTTTGCCCTATCGGTTGGTACCTCATCTGCTTAATTTTGTGCTCACCTTTCCGCGATTTTGCATGGCAAAATAGGAGCCACATTATTTTCCGGACGACCATATAACAATCCGATTGCGTAAAAGTAGTTTTTTGACTGATAAAGTGCCATCATGTGCCCTAATCAAAACTCATATCCCACATTCTACGAAAAATATTTTATTGGCACAAGCTTTGATGGCTAATTAACATCTTTCATAGGTCAATGCTGTCGGATTCAAAATTGCACCAGAGTACAACTACAAAAGAATCGTGGTTGTGAATCTAGCGGGTGAGAACCTAACGTTTCATCAGTAGTTGTTGTTGTACTATGCTAAGCTGTAATCACTAAGACTTGATGAGTAGTGCTAAATCATGCTTTTTTAGAAGGTGATTTTAGCGGTATTGTAGACGAACGCCGCGGTGAGGTAGTCAAAGTGACTCAACCATACAATGCTGAAGCAAATGCTGTGAAAATACATGAGGCAATTTTGAGAGGCTTCTATTGAATGTGATTATCCATGTACTTGTATATTTTGCGATTCTCTTCGATTATATAGCAGCCATAATAATAGTACAGAGTTGATTCTTATCTGATGAGAGTGAATATAATCAGCGCTACATGTTGTATTGATACTGATATTCATTCAGTTTTTCCCTCTTTTTCCCACTACCTTTCGAAGAGTCAGGCTGCGTGAGCTGCATTTGCTTTCAAAATTGCTAATTATTCCATTTTTGTTATGAGTAGTAAGCTTGAAATCGATTCTTGCCATAATATTAGGTCGTTCCGAAAGTAATGTCGCTTTTTTCAAACGTACGCCACATCTCGTAAGACAAAGATATGTAAGAGATTCTGGTAGCATTCGATGCAGCATTTCATTCTCTTTCTAATGGTTATATAATTACCGCACAAAATTGAGTAACCTCTGGAAAAATTATCAGAATCTGCGACCCATTCTTTTTGAAAAGGTCAAGTTTCACAATTTTTCTAAATTTTTACAGCAATCCCTGGAAGGAGTCCAAGTAATGTGTGGATAGAGCAAACCCTACAGGAAGCAGCACAACTCTTTTCTACTTCCAGAGCCTGTCACAATTTTTGTACAGATTTTTTGATGGAACCATCGAATTTTAACAGACTCGTCTCAGACACAAATGCATCAAACACCAAGAAATCTTCGGATTTTGAAACTTACAAAGATGGATTGTGGTTTTACACTAATTTTACAAAGCAAATGAGCGTTTACCGCTTCAGATTAGCAACTTTCGAAAGTTCCGGGTACAGCCGGAGGCGCCCTGGGAAACCTGAATTGAAAACTTGATGAATCGGAATCCAAAAACAGCTGGTAAAAAGAGGAAAAAAAAGCTGCGTCGAATGACACCCGAGTTGCTTGCCGGTTTTTGTTCTGTGAGGTTTGAGTTGACCAAATATAAAATTGGATGGCATTTTTAAACTGATTTCAGAAACTTTAAGAAGCAAGCTGAAGGAAAGGAAAAAAATTACTCCGCGTTTTATAGGGTTTGCTCTATCTACCTGCCACCTGTACTTCTTCGGAGAATAGGTACAAAAATTTTACAAAATTGCCGAACTTGACAATGGCAAAAAGCATGAGTTGCAGATTCTGTTAATTTTTCGAAAGCTCAATGAAAACTATGCAATGTAAATACAACCACTAAAAAGAGGATGAAATGCTGCATCGAATGCTTCTAAAAGATCTTGAAAGTCTTGATTCCATGAAATGTGGCGTTCATTTGAAAAAAGCGACATTACTTTCGGACGACCTAATATATTTTGAGGGACAGAATTTTTGCACCCTGTAGAGTAAAGAATGTCAAAAGTACATTTCAGTAAATTTTTCTAAGATTAATACGTGAAGTGTAGTAAATTTCATAAAAAGTGCCCTGCTGCAAGTCCCTGGTCTTTCTGCCAACGAGACCGAGTTCGCCCTGCTCTTTTCGGTTTTGGAGAAAAGTAGGGTGTTTTCAAAGGAAAGAAGCCAAATAAAAATTTTGCCAAATCTTTATAAATTTATGAAACCCAGAATGTCTTTGAAAAAGTGTCCTGTTGTATGATGTTCCTTTCTGCCACCGAAATCAAAATTCGTTTTGCTTTCTTTAATTTCGGAGGCAAAAGCATTTTTTTAGGGCAGAGAATGTCAAAAGTATCTTTCAGTGAAAATTTTGAAATATTTCTGTGAAGCGTGAGAGTTTCCAGAAAAAAATGTCCTGTGGTATAAATTATGCCATTCTCTCCATTCTGCCAGCAGTCTCCCGCTTTTTTCTTTTTTGGAAGTGAAAATAGGGTGTTACCAGAGTAGAAGTCTCTGAACTTTCGGCAATGTTTCTTAAGCCTAAAAATTGCTGAAAAAAAAGTGCCCCGTTACGTAAATTCTTGGTCTTTGGAAACAGGACTTCTGATTGCCGAAAGGCCAGTGAGGCCAGATCTGTCCTGCTCTTTTTTTTTCTCAAAAAGAAAAGTTGAGTGTTTCTAGATCAGGCAACCTCAAAAGTATTTTTCGGTAACATTTGTTGGAATTTATCTGTAAAGCTTAGGATTTCCTATAAAAAGTGTCTTGCAGCACCAAGTCCTGATCTTTGCTCTTCCAGAGCAAAAGTAGGGTGTTTTCATAGCTGGCAACCTCAGAAGTATCTTTCGGCAAAGTCTTGAGCCTAAAAGTTGCTTTTAAAAAAGTGGCCTGTCGCATATGTTCCCTCGTCTTTTCTGCCAACGATACTAAGGGCTCCCGCCAGTGTGTCGAAATTATGCCAGCGCTACGCCAGCATTTCGATCGATACCTCTGTATTTCGTTGGGGACATCTACCTGCTGAGTTAGCCCCGCCCCAACGAAATACACGTGTATCGATCGAAATGCTGGCTTAGCGCTGGCATAACTTCGGCACTCTGGCGCGAGCCTAAGATTGCCCCGCTCTACTTTCTTTCAAAGTCAGAACTAGGATATTCTTAGAGTAGAAAAGGCCAAAAGTGTTTTTGGCCAAGTTTTCAGGCCTAAGAGTTGTTGAGAAAAGTGTTTTGTACAGGGTCCCCTCTTTTCTGCCAGCGAGACCATGCTCCCGCCAATCTTTTCTCTTTTGGAGAAAAAAGTAAGATGTTCTTGAAATAAGAAAATTCATTCGTATCTTTCACAAAGTTTTGCTTTTCTTTCCTTTTTAAGAGTAACCTCTTTTCTTTTCAAAAGTAAACGTAGAAAAACGGGATTCTACCAGCGGATGCTAAAAGTAGATTTCTCCTCAAAGGCAGTGTCCGAGCACAAACTCGATTTTGAGATTTTGTGCTTATCCGGGCCTATTCGCTATGCTGAATCCGAAAATCCGCATTGGAGAGCGCGAAAATGACGAAAAAGGGCTCTAACACTAGAGGGAAATCAGCAAGTGGGCGGGGTCTTCCCCACTGTGTATTCACGCTCCCAGCTTTGGGGACGATCTTTTTGATTCCGGTTTCAAATCATTCGTTTGCACTTGATCGGTAATGATGTCAGGGCGGCTAACGGATTCGAGAAAATTGCTCGGAAGCTGGAAGCGTGAATTCACAGTGGGGAAGACCCCGCCCACTTGCTGACATCCCTCCAGTGTTAGAGCCCTTTTTCGTCGTTTTCGCACTCTCCAATGTGGATTTTCGGATGCAGCATACCGAATAGGCCCGGGTAAGCACAAAATCTCAAAATCGAGTTCTTGCCCGGACACTGCCTTTAAGTATCTGCATCCTCGAGAAAAAATGTTTTTTGTGAAACTGTATTGACCGGAGAGTGTTCATGCCTTTTATTCAATCAGTAATCTCATTCAAAGCACGGACATTCTTGGATAGCCACAAAAGTAAATTTCTGACAGAAAGTGGCAAATTTACAGGGAGCGAAGATATTCTTTGGAGCAATCCCTCTGCTAAATAACAATTAGCGTTTTCCTTCCACGAGCAAGATTCGCTCATTGTTTTTCTTGTGAAGCAGATAGGGCTTTCTCAAAGTGCATGCTTCCAAAATGATTATTACAAATTTTCTTATACGGAGGCATTTCTTGAAAAATAACTTTCTGTTAAAAGGTCCTGCTCTTTCTCCCTCCCGCAACGCCTAGTCTCGCCTACTGCTCTCCCTTTTGTCACTAAAGTTTTCAAGAGGACCTGCTCCCAAGAGAGATTTTTTGTCAGATAAAGTTTAAATACGAAATGAAAATATTCTTTGAAGGAAGGTCTTTTTGCTAGAAAATCCCTGACATTTCTTATCCAGAAAAGCCAAGGCATGTTATTGCTTTTTGTTTGGGACAAGAAGTAAGGTTTTTAAAACATGCACATAATTTCTTTTCCCAAGATTACGAAATTTCCAGAAGCCAAAGCTCGCTCACGGTTTTTTCGTCTAGGGGTAAAGTAGGACTTTTTTCAAGCAATTGCCAGGTAAAGCGAAATTATCTTAGAAATAGAGGCATGGTTGCGAAAAATATTTTTGCAAAAAATTCGATTTTTCGAGGGGATCAAGGCTCGCTCATTGCTTTCTTTGGGACAAACGTAGAATTTTAAGCAATTCCCAAGAACAAATTTTTTGCCGAATTCTGTAGAAATGTTCATAACACAGGCTTTGCGAGAATACCTTTTGCCAGAAGCCCCTGAGCTTTTTGTCCCTCGAGGCCTTGCTCGTTGTTTTTCTGTTTAAGACTAAAAGTACGTTCTGAACAATGTTCCTAAAATAAAACCTTTGCCAGATTGAGTGAAAATCAGACATTGTTTGCTGGATTGTATTGCTGAAAGCCGCTAAGTATTTTTTCGTGAAATACAGAAATAATCCTTGCGAAAGTTTCTTTTTGAAAAAAGAGCCCTAAAAATTTTTCTAAAAGAACCAAAGCTCGCTCATGCACTTCTATTTAGGAAAAGTGATAGGGTTTTTAAGCATATGATCCTAAGATTATCTCTTTTGCCAAATTAAGTGGAGATTTATAAAATGGAAGTATCTTCGTATATGTTTACTTGAGCCGCTTACCAAGATTGTAGCACGCTTTATTCAATCGGGTGAGGGAACTTAGGAACCCGAGCCTAATTAGCTCGATTCGGGGAATGCCTGCAGGTTACAGTCATGCTCGCTGTGTCCGATTACTCACTAGGACATAGCAACAATCTAAGCCCCCCCTCCCCCCGAGAGCCTCTTTGGAACCTAGCCAAGGAATGCTGAAAACTCAGTTGAATTTCAGGGGTGGCTTTGAGTCAAAAACCTTCAAAGTGATCGTACGAAGGTGAAATTAGGCTTAAACTAAAGAGAAAACCCATGCCATCATCATGAAGTGTCTACTGATCGAAACTGACTGAACCCAACATTCTCTTGATTCAAAACTTTATTTAAATGTTAAATTACTGAGAAATTATTCAAAGAACCGTCAAGTTTCAGAAAAAAATTCATTTGAGTGCCAAATCCGGCAAAAGACTAGAATATCATTCGAGAAATGACAGTTCAAAAACTTCTCAAGACTGATAGTTATTTACATGCTGAAATTTAGGCAGACTAGAAAATCAATTGCGAAACGACAGCTTATAAAATTCTCAAAAATAAAAGTTTGTTTGTGTGCGGAA